GATATTTCTAGAAAGAGGTGGCGTGATACTAGTCACGTGACCTCGCTGACGCAACAATCTGTTTATGTACTTAATGTTTTTTGTATATAAACTCTTTCCTCTTTTTTTAAATTAAATTGTACCACAGCCATCTTTTCCTGACTTGTCATCTTAGTTAAGCGTCTTTGTTTTGTCTAAGTGATGTCAGCAGAGACTTAGTTTTGATTTCACTCAGGTTTTTATAGTGCTAAATGTTTATCCCAATAAACACCCCAGTTGTAGAATTTAATGATATCGACTTAACTTCCTGCTCTTCGCAACTGTTTTTCTGGGAACTCCATCCATAACCGATTAGAAACGTGGTTGTGACAATCAATACTTTTTTTTCCGATAACATAATCGTGGCTTACGATATACAAAGTCTCACTTATAAGCAAATTGTAGCTATTTTTTTCTTGAAAACTGCTTCAGTTTCCAATTAATGACACTACACATGTCTGAACAAGCGGAGTTTTTATTTCACTTGAATAACAATTAACCTATTCACAAGCCTAGTTAACTCATTCACTTTCACTTAATGTAGTTTAAGCAGCATGCATTCACTCTTTCGAACAACACCCATTTTTGTAGAAAAAAAAGCCTTACTTTATAAATTATTATTACTTTAATGTTTAAGTTCTTTCATTAGTTAATGCTACTATTTTAATACTTATTTATGACTCTACCAAACCTTTTAATTTAATGCTCAACTCCTTTCAGTGGCCATGGTCGTCACTTATGTTACTAATTTAGAAGAGATCACTATAGTGTGAGCTATGCTATTGTTACAAGGTATATATATTTTAATGTTTCAATTTAGATATTAGACACAGGTCGCATAAAGTTAAAGTAGGCCTAGAATGCTTTAAATGATATCACGCAAATCCAGTATTTTCGACGAATATCTAGAAACGAGACATCAGTTATAAATACAAGTTAGTAGAATTAGTGAACAAATGTGAAAGTGAAAGCGTGGGAATTTCGAGTCGTTGTTGATTGAATATTTCTCTCAAATAATCAGTTGTTTTCAGTCGGTAGAGTACGGATCATTCAGTAAAGTATTTAGTTTCAGAGAAGTATCAGTGTTAGGAATAGCATATATTCAGTTACTCAATTAATTAACTGTGAAGTTGTACAAGTAAGTTTTTTTTACGTTAGTAATAGTGCCATTATCGAACTATTTCTGTTTGATAGCCATTTGTAAACGTAAGTCTACAAATGACAGCAATATACAAGTGAAGACAGCTTGTAGAAACATTAATGAAGAAATAAACTAATTTTTTGTCATTACGTGGACTGAACTTCAAATTATTTTTACCAAATAATTTAAAAGGACCCACCCAACATTACAATACCATAAATAGAGGTAGTTGTTTGTTCAATCATTGACTCGTGGGATTGATTGAGTTGTGTTCCACCTGTTACGTCTCTGTTCGTTAGTTAATTCTCCGTAAATTCGTTCCGACGAAACTTCAGCGACACAAGTCCTTTCTTAAATAAAACTGGTTTATTCTTTCTGAATATAACTTTGCGATACACTTAATTTCAACAGTCGCGCTATGACAAACGCAATAACAAAGAACGTCTCACGTGCTCAACTTCAATAATACTTAGTTCAATTACACACTCTCTGACTGCAGTTCAATTACTCCTTGCCCCGTCACGCTGTGACCATCTTATATATACCAGACTACCCCCAATCTAGTAGTCTCCCGATAATTCACGAAGGTTCGAGAGAAGGGCCTGGCGTGATACTAGTCACGTGACCTCGCTGACGCAACACACCCATCTTTGACACTAGAGTAGCTCTTAGCCACGTGGATAGTGCGTGCACCTGAGGATAAAGAACTTTATATATAATGTAATGTTTTCTTTTGCTTTGTAAGAATTTTTAGATATCTATATATATTGACATATTTCTTACTAAATGTACTGCATTTTAAAGATTTGTTTCTTGTATACTTTTCCACATTGAAAGTGCAGTGTTATAGATTATGTTAGCAAGACTTAATCTCTATGCAATAGAACTAGAGGCACACTGATGAGAGAATCATCAATAAAGCTCTGTCTCTTCTTTCTCTCCCCAGCGGACACACTAGCATTTGAGTCAGTGTTTAGCCTTAACTTTAACTATGTATGTTTCTATAAAGATTGCAATTATTTAAATACTCAATGAAAGGCTGAGAGAACACAGTCCTGATCTGTAATACAGTATATGACAAATCCTTCTGTTTTAGCTGTATATTCAAATTACTCTAAGGGAAATATGGGCAATCTGAGAATGCCATATTCATGCTGAAAATAATTTGGGATATGTAGTTTTTTTAGTCTACTTCGAGTTATTTATTGGCCAAGGTTAAAATGATTTAGGACACAATACAATGATTCTTGTATGGTTAACAATATAACTATTGTGTTTTTACCATTTTCACATTGAATAGAACATAAAAACAAGCCATTCTCTTAAATATATCCCGACCATGATGTGTTGACTTGATACTTTTGCATTATTTGTATTGTTACGTCTCTGTATGTTTGTTTGTTAATTCTTCTACGATACAAGTCCTTTCTTAAATAAAACTTGTTTATTCTTCCTCAATACAACTTTGTAATGCACTTAATTTTCACAGTTACACACACTATAGTTCACAACAATTCACTCACTTTCTACCGCGCTTGACTTAATTATCCGTCTCCGCCAACTATAGTTCCGATCACTGTATCTGTTATCCTTGGTTCCCGCTGACCGTAACCGCTGACCTTGGTTCCCCACTCTCTCTCTTTCTCTCTGCCTGTCAGCAATTATATACAATAATACCGCCTGTTCTAGAACTTTCTAGGCACTCAACACGTGCTACCAGGGTCACTTGACTTCCGCTGCCGTAACACACTAACGTTTATCGCGAATATTCTAGAATACTCGTCACGTGACCCCGCTGTCGTAACAGTATTAATATTGTTGCAATGTGTTTTATCATTGGGAGGTCCAATGTCCAATCCACATAACAAAATAAATTATTTTTCCATAACACTTGCTACAAGCTATATTCTTTCTGACATGTTTTGTGGGCTTAAGTTAATTCACAAACAATATTTCAATAGAAATCACAATACTAATCTATAACTAACTCACAAACTTTTCAGCAGACTTTCGTTGCTAATGAAACAATTACAAACACGCCAACTAAATGAGTAACTGAATAGATGTGATGACTCTCACTTTTACCATTGAATTAGTCATTAACTCACTACTTCCCTGATTTTCGTATGTATATCGTACCCTTGTTTTGCCCTCCAGTGGCACAGCAGTATGTCTGCAAACTTACAGTGCTAGAATCCGGGTTTCGATACTCGTGGTTGGCAGAACACAGAAACCCCTTTGTTTTGATTTGTGCTTAACTTCAATCAAACAAATTCTTGTTTCTATATCCTGCACAAAATTTCCAGATTCTACAGAGGCCTTAAATGTATCTTACAGTAATACAAACACTTTTGTTTAAAAGAAACGAGAACTAAGCTTTCTGTTCAATCAATTTTTTGCTGTGAATCCATCTCTCTCTCTCTCTCTTATATATATATATATACTGTTATAACATGTTTTATTGTTGGGTGAGTTTTTGCATTACTTGGTAAAAATAGATGTAAAGTCAAGTCCAGTTTATGATAACAAATCATTTTATTTCTTCAGTGAGTGAATAACGTTGTTGCAGGCTACAGTTACTTCTAGGTGCCTTCCAGTGGCTCAGTGGTAAGTCTGGAGGCTTATACCAATAACAGTCTGTTTTTAATAGTGTGGTGAGCACAGCACAGATAGCCTATTGGATACCTTTTGCTTAACAACAAACAAATATTTGTAGGCTTAACTTTAATTGAAAGTTTCAAGAAATATTTAACACAACTTTCAAGAACTAGTATATACTAACTCTTATTCATAAGTCGCCTGATGGGTCAGCACTAAATTTATGGACATAAAATTCGGACTTTTCTATCTCTCAGTGAATAGAGCATCAGTAGCCAATTCTATTGCTTTGCACTAAAATAAGCATACACATTAATAAGTACTAACTTACTTGTAGAATTTCAATTACAGATATACTAACTATCAATGTCTAACTATAACTAAAACACAGACACAATAACTCTCATTGTCTAACTTGTATTAAACCAACTCAGTCATAACTTACTGCCTTAGTGATTCTGGTATTTATATTGTACTCGTTTTCTACTTATTACACGAAATTTCTAGATCATTACATTATGATCTTGACACAATGACACGATTCCTCTAGTGTCTAAACTGAAATAATAAAAATACAGCTTACAATAGTATATAATTAATTATATATTTCTATATCAGTAATGCATCCATAGTTTCACTGACTCTGTTTAGTTAAAAAAAAGTAGATCCAGTCCATTTTTTTTACTATAACTAAAAACCGGTAGTAGGCACAGCACAGATAACCTATTGTGTAGTTTTGCGCTTAACAACAAGTCAAATGAACAATACCAAACGATATTAATGATCTAAATACGAATTATCTATTGTGCGATAGATATAAATGGCAGTCTTACCGTTACCCATTTTAAAAATCATTATAAGATTCATGTATATATATATATATATATATATATAAGATATGAGAAATATAACTATGTATAAATGCTATTAATTGCGTACAGTTTTATATGATATTAACTGGAATACTTGTAGGTTGTGATGTTTCTTGGTTGTGTCCCAAACATTAAAAATGATTTTGGATTTTGGAATAATTTAGTTTTTTTAGGGACAAATATACTTTAATTGCATTTTAATTATTCGTTTCAAAACTGAGTTAGACAAACTATGATCAATACATTCTGATAATATTCCAATAACACAATTTACTTTCACTGATACGTGAGATGAGTTTTGTTTATTCATATTTGACGTTACGGAAAGAGCATTCAGTTATTTTGTAAACAGGTGGCGCTCTACCGTGATATGAGGATCGTACTTATTTATGTTTTATTTTTACTTGACTTAATTGTAACTTGTGAGTGGGGTTTTACTGTTAATGAGAAAAACATATGGCGAAACTATTTCATTTTCAAAACATGCAACTACGGGCATTGAAATTTGAGTATAATTTCATCATTGTTATTTTCTTAGGATTATGTTGTCAAATTAAAGGTAAGATTTGTCATCTATAAGTTATAGTATAACATTGATTAACACTAAACGTATATGTATGAATATTACTGTGTTAGTGTGTAGTAATACTAATACTGACTGTCAGTATTATAAATATTAATAATATTGAACATTGAAGTAGTACTACTACAATACTAGTAGTAACACTTAGGCATACTACAACACCAGTGCTAAGTGCATATTTATGCCAGTAATGGTAGTCTGACTTCTAAGTCTAAATGTAACTTGCAAGTGTAAATTGTAACTATTATATTTGTAATTAACTGTTCATATATTATTATTAATAATTAACATTAATTGTAATTGATTAATTCATCTAGTTCTGACGTTGGACATGAAAAAGGTATAGATGAAAGGAAAGTTGTATAATTTAATTTATTACTTATTGTTAGATTGTTGAATATTGATTTAAGTGCTAGAACCTTATTTATCATTAAATATTTGTGTACTTGAGAATGTTCACAGAGGTGATTGATACCTTGCACCCGTAAAGGTTGTAACTTGCAATAATTAGCAAGTAAAATCAAAATGAAACTGTTTATAAGTGTGTTTATGACAGTGTTGGGTTTTAAGTGTTTATTTATAACTTTGCAGTTATTCATATACTTTGTAACCAACCAAAGTAATTAAATATTAATAATAGCTGATTTTATTATTAGGCAAGTAAATACTTTGGCATCAGGTCCAGATCCCTAGGTTTTCATACTATGGATCTTCTTGGCATGTCATGTACCAAGTGCTTTCAATCTCATAGCCAATCGTCTTTCCTGACCGGATCTAGTTTATCCCATGGAGTGGTCTCTGCATCCTACCATTTTTCAGTGGCTCTGTCTGTATTTGGGTATTCCCCATATTGATGCCTTTTGCCACCACTCTCAATCACAAATTACCTTGGTTTTGGTCCCCCAGCCTTGAGCCTTGGCTGTTGATTCCTTCAGCCAGGATTGTTCTCATCTGTTCCTTTGTGTTTACCTTCCCATCCGTTTTCCAGTCACTGGTTCTCCATCCCCCAACGTTCGTCCTCTGTCTTCACGCCTGGCTTTTGTCAAGTCCTTGACAAGGAGTTCCAGTTTCTCTTGTAGAGTAGTTTCACATTTAGCCCGTTCCATTCACCCTTCTTCTTTGGCCATCTATCAACTCAAATGGAACATTTATTGGTCCTGAGCACTGACTTGGGGTTTCCAGGCTTCTCACCCAATGATTGCTTGTATCTCTGAGTTTCTCACGTGGCTCTTTGAGAGGGGTTCTTTGGTCTCCTTGATTTCGGGTGGCATCATCCCGTACATTCCGTTTTCATGCTTCTGCAGGGTCTTTGCTTCCCCTGTCCTTTCCATGTTGATCTGTTCTTTCTGGCTCCATTGGCAACCAAAGTGTCAGTCACTCCTGGACTGAGACATTGATGTGGTCCTTCGTACCCTCACTTTACTTCCATTCGAACCTCTGTCTATGTGTTTCCTGTTTCACCTCTTTTTGAAGACATATTTCCTCCTTCTCCTGGCCTGCGGGCATCATAGGTCAAATATTTTCTCCCTCATTGTTACCAGAACCTTGTACTACTCCTCTTACCTTATCTTTTATCTGGATTGTGCTTTCGTACCGAAGACCTCTGCGGCTTGACAAGGTGAGTCCTTTTTTTTCCTATCTGTCTATCCTCTATATCTCATTTCTACCCTCGTTCTGATCCAGATAGACTCTCCTGTCCTCTCTATGCCCTCTATTGCTTGCACAGATTTCTTCCACGGTCCTTGTTCCTGCCTTTTAATCCTTTGGCAACCTTCCTTTTCCCATGATCTTTTCCCAGTTACCCTGACCAATTGGGTTTGTTGTTTGATCTAGTTGGCCTATTTCTTCTTGTCTCCTTCCCAGCATGATTTCTTTTGCATTTCCTCACATCAAACCATCACCTTACCTTCTCCTTTGCCTCTCATTCTTGTCGGCCATTGGAAGAAATTCAAAATCAGGCATGTGGATGACTCCATGCACGTTCATCTCCCACTACTTATACTACATCACTGGTTCTGCTTCTTCAGGATATTGCTTGCTGCCTGTGATTATTGTTCAGATTTTAGCACGGCTGTGACATGAGATAAACCCTCACTAATGCTTTCTTTTTTTTCAGGGGCTCCTGCTTCAGCTTCACCTTGGATCCTGCTCTGTGGCGAGTGGTGCCTGACCAGGTATTCTGTCTGTACTCGGAATGGGTTCCACTTAGATGGCTATAACCATTCGCAGACATCTTGATATCAAATCCACACCATAAGCCATGTTGATTCTTATACATTTTCCATGGCTATGTACACTCACACTTGAGATGAGGGTACATAGCCACAAGATCACTAGAGTGTAAATTCCATATGGTAATTGCATCATAATATGCCCATCCCAGACCGTATCACCATAAATGGCATGGGTAAAGTAGAAGGGGATTGCTGCCCATCCCTCCCATGCCTAGATTAAATAAATCGGTGTGGTTTCTATTTCAAAATAGGGTTTTGTGATCACCCATTGCACTGTCTCGGGTGTTGCAGTCTCTCTAGATTCTCCACTGCACTTTCCTCCCTTTCTTCCAGTGGAGTATAGGAGTACTTACCACTTACAAGCTGCTGGGGTGGTTGACTATGGAGGCAACCTGCTGGATGGGTTCCACAAAGATGGCTGTAACCATTCAGTTCAGAGTAGGGTAGTGATGTTCTGCTGGTATAGAGGGAGTTACAAGTTCCTCCGGATGAGTGACTATTTCCTGGAGTTGATATGCCCAAATGCAGTTCCCCCTCTGATTTGGTGCCCTCCTCCTACCCTCGTGTGGCGGTCAGTACCCAACAAGTGTGGTTTTGGAGATCGGGTGAACCACTCACATAAGTCCTCACACAGGTTTTGGGTTGTCCATCTTCCCCTCTTGACTTGTCTTCTCTGTTGTGGGTTGTAGAAGGTCTATGTGACCTGTTTCCATTTCTTTCCTGGGTTTTCCTTCATTGGGTGATGAGGTTGTTACCAACCTGGGGTCATTTTGGGCCAATTTCATGGTCATGGGGTTGAGTGCATGCGAATTCTGTATGACACATTCCCGGATCCCTGGCATTAGGCTACCCTGTGAGATTCTGGAGTCGATTGTTAGGTTCTCTCTTAACTTTGAGACTTGAGGTGAAGACGGTATGATCCTCATCCTACCCTCACGAGGATTTCGGTACCCAGAGAGTGAGGTTTTGGATGTAGTTGACTTACCGAGTACTGTCCGTCACGCCCTAGCCACTCTACCCATGGGACACATCATCACTTTCCCACTTTCCATCATAGGATTGAGTGACTCTGATTTCTGTTTAAGATCACATTGCTAACCTATCCTCTCCCAGGCAGATGTGCTCCCTTTAATGTTCCACCGTGTCTGGTCCTCCTGATCCTGGCGAAGAGATACCTGGCTCAGATGTGGTGCGGTACCCCTCCTCAGATCATCTGATCTGTTCCTCTCATTTTGGAGGTGTCCTCTGGACGCTTCTGAGAGAAATGCCTGTGCTTCCCTCATACCTGTCCCTCCTCCATTTCAATGTGGGATTCAAGCTAATCTTGTGAGTGGAGGGAGAGTACCTTATTGGAAGTTATAATTTTCCTAAATGAAAATGTATTTCCAGTAGGTACTTCCTTCCTGTCTTCCCCACAACTTTCCAGTGCTCTTCCGCCAAACTTCGAAGTGATAGTTTGGTAGTGACATGTAGAGGGAGTCATGTGTCAGTAATGCTCTCTTATTGGTGGAGGGATGACACATGATTTGCATGTGAGACATGTTGGAACTTTGGATTCCAACAGAGGGAGGATGAAGGCTTGTGGCATGCATTTCTGAAAAAAAGTTTCTATATAGAGGGCAGCACAAAACAAGAGAAGCTAATTTTGTGAGAAGAGGGAATTACCTATCAGAAATACATTTTCATTTAGGAAAATCATAACTTTTGAAGGCTCAGATTTGGTTTTGACTCAAAGCTGGGTTTTGATACTCATGATGGGCACAGCACAGATAGCATATTATGTAGCTTTGTGCTTAACAACAAAACAAATGAATGAACATTTAATTTCTACACCCCAGTGGTTCAGCTGTAAGTATCTGGGCTTATGGTGCTAGAAATTGGGTTTTGATACTTGTGGTGAGCACAGCACAAATACTCATTGTGTAGCTTTGTGCTTAACAAGAAACAAATTCATTTCTGAAAATATGGGTGGAGGAGGGTATTCCTTCTAAACCCCTTCCTTAAATTCATGCCTTTCTCTGCAATATTAATAATACTTATTAATTTCTGATAAATGGGGATTTGGACTCTCCCTACATCACTCTCCTTGAGATCTTACATGCTTATACAACATTAAGTAATGTAATTATTAATTTCTCAAAAAAATGAATGGGGGTGTAACCCCTGGATCCTCTAATTATGCATCTGTTTATACAACATGAAAGAATACAGTTATTACTTACTGAAAAAATAGAGGATGCCACCCCCAGACCCACACCTGCTTATACAATATTAAAGAATACAGTTACCCAATTTTAAATGAGAAACATAAGAAAATATAAAAAAAAACCAGTCAATTTGCACTTTATTTAACCCTTAAGTATCAAGAGATTGGTGGTGGTTGCTGACAGCCAGTTGCCTTTCATCTAGTCAGCAGTTCAAAATTATGTAGATTTGTTCTTAATAACAAATAAGCATACTGACAATATTTTGATTACTTGGATAAGTGGAATACTGAAGGCAGTTAATAATTAAAAATCCTACTTTCAACTAGTTGAATATTTTAATGACAGTCAGTTTAATTGTAATTTCAATTAATCAGTTGTTGGAATAATTGAAAAGAGTAATAATCAGAACAACTAATTTCAGTTAGTTGATTACTTTCATGACATTAAATGATTAATTGAAATTTCAATTAGTTCCAGTAGTTTACAAAACAATTGATGTAATTGTTGCTGAAAGGTAATTGATTAATTCACCTAGTTCTGATGCTCTACATGAATGAGGTATAGATAAAAAGAAAATTTTAGAATTTCATATATTGCTAGAATTATAATATTAAAATTGCTTTTATTAAATTCTAATATTTTTTATATTTTATAGTTGGAGTAAGCCATATTGGAGAGAAATGCTTTTTATCTGCATTTTGCAGAGCAAGTAACTCTTACTGTGATAAAGAAGGAATCTGTAGATGTAACCCTGATTATCCTATTGAAGTTGATCGTCATAAATGCAAGCAAGGTTATGTTTTTTGTTTTCATGAATGTTTTGTTAATTTATAATTTTGTGATGTATGTGTGTGTGTGTGTGTATAATCATAATGTGCCAGTTAATTAATACATGAACTAATACACAGGAGTTCATGAGGTTTCTTTTATTTAGGTTTAAAATATTTCAGATGATAGTGACTTCAACAGAAAATTGATTCACGTTAAAGAATATCGGTGTATGTAACAGTTTAAAACGTAAAAATTTTAAAAGCAGCACACTTTCCCACATTTCAGAAGTTTTTTGGTGGAGTGAAAGTTGAAATTATATGAGATTTCAATCCATGACTCTACCAACTAAGCAGATGTTATTGACAATCAAACCACTAGGTTTTGATTGCTGTCACTCCCCCCCTCCCACCCACCATACACACACACACACACACACACACACACACACACACACTAGTAGTAGTAAGTTAAGTAGTTAGTTAAGTTAGGT